TTCTTTGTTGTATTTACCAACGAGTTACTTTTTTCTATTCAGAACATTCTTATTATTTTAAAAAATTTATTATTTGCAAAGGCAATATTGTAAAAAAAAAAAATGAAAATCAATAATATACATTTTCAAAGTGCAGGAAGAGGATGATAATGTATGATTTACAAATGTACAAGAATGGTATTAACAATGAAATGTTAGCGTATACAATCATTTTTTTTGTTAACACTTAATAACATACGATTTTACTGTCTGAGGATCTGCATTCGTACTAACATGAAAGAATACCTTGCGCGATTTTGCATCTTGTAACAATGAATTCCACATTGGATCTCTCTGTAATTAATACATTGACATATTTTGTTAATTATATTGTACCTCATGTTTTTCTTGTTCTTTTCCTATATATTGTCTGTATATTGTCAGTATATTGTCTTACCATAAAAACGTTGAAGTTACCACATATTATCAAACTGCGTTTTGCTCTTGTAAGAGCAACACAAAGTCTTTGTTTATCAGATAAAAAGCCAATCTTTTGACTTCGTACACACGACATAATTACCACATCGCGTTCCTGTCCTTGAAAACCATCCACTGTATTCACCTCAATTTTCATTTTTTTTTTTACATTCTCCGGTAATGAAGATGTTCTGAAGTGATTGAAATCAACGTTAGCGTACCAATAATTTAAATAATTTAAATAATATTTCGTATATACTCGTATTAAATTCTATGACTTACTTTTCGTTAATTTTTGTTAATATGACAGATTTTTGATTATTGTACGGCGTGAGAATGCCACACGAAATACACGATTCCCAATTATCCAAATTGGAGAACATTAACATGCAATGAATAATATTAGCTACAAGTTCTGCTTCATCATTGTTCGAAAAATTATCGTTATTTTGATTTGCATTAAGATTTAGAACCCTATACGAATGAAAAGGAAATTTATTGTTGCGTTCCGCAGCAGTTTTTAATTTTCCGCCATAAAAAAATTTGTTCGGCCAATAAGAAATATCGTGCTGCATTCTATATTGAGTGTCCAACATGATTATCGGATTATCTAATTGCATATCGAAAGCATTTTGAACTCGAGAGAAAATCGATTGATCTAATCCTAATTTCTTAGCCTCTGGACTCAGTATAGTGGCGGGCAATTGATTAGGATCACCGACTAAAACCAATATATTAATTCCTAACATTAATGGTATTAAAGTTTCTGCCTCGCTACTCTGAGTAGCTTCATCCACAATACACACGGATATTCTTTTTTTATTAGTGCCAAAAATGGATTCCATTTGATTAGTATAGCACGATGAAAGGGTACAGGTTATTATGTCCGCGTGTTCAAGAATCCTGTTTTCCGCACCACGTTGCAATTTCATACGTTCTCTGTCGTTTATCTCATAAAATGGCGTACGATTCCTCAGTAACTCGTGTTTCGCAGCTATTTCCGCCAATTTCATTAAAATATGTTGCTTGTAAGTTTCATCCACGTTGCGAGAATTGGCCAATTCGCATTTCAGCGCGTTCATTTTAGAATCTAAAAACTGTTTCTCATTTTCCACGCTATCAGGCGGAATACTGTTCGAATTAGCTGCTGTCTTCTTTATGTCTCGTTTCGCCAATTCAGTGACAGAAATATTTTTCACTGTAGGATGCATCATTTCTGCTTGTCCAATGCGAACCATTCTAAACGGTTTTACCTTCGCCTGGTTCTTTATAGTGGACCTGATGTCCAACAATCTCAGAACGATTTCATCTATGGCAGCGTTTGATGGAGCACATACTAAAATTTTGGTAGGACTTGCATTGCTAGTATATCTGTTGTTGCCATACAATATTTGAGTAACAATATTTACAATTACTTTCGATTTCCCTGTACCTGGTGGCCCTTGAATAAAGCACAGCTTTGCATCCTTCTGAACTACAGCTTTGGTCACTTTGCACACAGCCTCCATCTGTTTCTGATTCAATTTATCTTGAGTGACAAGTGTTTCTGGTTCTGACACAGTAGGCAATTTGTACATTTCAATTTTAGGATATAAAATTAAGTTCATCAGTGGTGAATTGGGAAGATACTGTAGTGCTCGCACCATTCTTAAATTAGGACGCAAATAAGTCACGGCTCTTAATCGTTGAACACGATTCACTTGAATATTATGATTGTCGAGGAGTCTTGTTCTCATAGTGTACGTCAGTAACATATGAGGACTTTTTACGTAATGTTGTAACTCTTTATTGTACCGTGTCAGAGGAGTTAACACCGTTGAATATACATTTACAACATAAGCAAATATTTGATGAAAGGTCTGCCCCTTTTCGTGATTTTTAACGAATTCGAAAAATACTAAATCTCCGTATACAGGATGTATCTGTTTATATACTTCTTCCCTCGAGGCCAATACCTCAAGCATCAAAGTTGTAAAAGATACATTCCCAGGTTGTTTGTCCGTCTGAATAGAATTTTCAACTATGGAACACATAAACGTAGGTCGTCTGAAGACTTGATCGTTGCGCTGAACTTCTTTAGTTATGTTACACCAAGTTTCCAACAACAATAACGGAGCGGTGATACGATAGTACTCATCGTACGAATTATAGTGTGTTAACATCACATTAAGTTCATCCTGCTGTACAACAGGTGCAGTTGTATTCAAATACTGCTGTTCTTCCAACCATACTGGATTCCATAAAAAGATACGCAGTAAAAATTCGTTATATTTCGCATTAGATTCCGTGATATTTTTAGGTTTGGCTATCGCAACTTTTTCTGGAGGTATAGGTGCATCTTTTCCTTTGATTTTTTTCAGAACATTTGACTCTTCAATTTCGTATTCGCGTATAGTATGAATCACTGTAGAGAAAGACACGCGTTTCTTCTGCTTCTCAACCACAGACTTCATATTTGACTTTAGAGGCGCAGGAGATTCTTTTTCAACAGACTTGAATGCTTCTGTACTTGGTTTATTCTTTGACTCAACGTCTTTCGGTTCTATTTTTTTCTCCGTCTGCTTCTCCAATGAAAGATCCCTTAATGCTTCTTCCGTTACTGCGATATTTGCTTTTATCTTATTTACAGTAGATTTTTTTTGTATTCTGCCTACATTGGAAATATTACTGAGTGTTAATATATGTTGTAAATGCGTTGCTATCTCCTTAGATGCATCCTTACTTTTTACAGGTTTAGTTGTTTTTTTACTTGGTGAGGAACTGTTTGGCAATGTAGAACGATTAGATGAAACTTTAGTCTTCTGTGGCGCATTGCCTGATTTCGATACAGACATTGTTTCCTCCATGAGAAAATCATTTCGAGTTTTCGTCGTTATCTTCGCCTTTGGCTTAGAAACGATACGTTTTTTTTCTTGATTCTCTTCTAGGGACAATCGCTTCTCCATTGCAAGTTTCTGTAATTTCCTCTTTCTGTTATCCGCCAATATTTTCTTCTCTTCTTTGGTAAGAAAACTTATATTATTCTTGCTGGTAGGAAGACAATCAGCCCACTTGTGGATTATTTTACGGTTCTTTTGTTCCTTTGTATGTAAGTATTGTTGTATCTTAAACTTTTCTTGCTGCTCCTTTCTCTCTTTAGTACTTAATCTTTGTCTTACAGACCTTTCAAAAGACTTTTCACGATCTTCATGCACTCTATTCGAACTGCTGCTTCGTCTTCTAGTGGGTAAGTGTGGAGGTTCGATCTGAGGCACTTTCTTTTCGAGCGATTTCTTCTTTTTCGAAGGTCTTGCACTTCCTACTTTACTACTAACTGAGGTATTAATATCATTTTCTGTTTCTCTCTCCTTCAGAAGCAAACTCTGATTTATCAATGATTCTGAAAGTTTTCCGATACTACTACTGGAACTAGGAGCTTCTACAGATTTTTCAACGTGGTTTTCAAAATCGTCTTTCATTCTCTCTATAGAAACATATGGCAAAGACACTTGACACAAATTTTTCATATCTTGCAACGACGCAACTTCTTCCATATTTATACATTTTTCTGCTTCTTTCTCTTTGCCTAGTTTAGTTTCTACGCTTACAGGCAACTCAGATTTATGTACATTTGACTCTCCAATATCCACAATTTCTGAGTCTATTGGTTCCTTCTTTATATTATCATTCACGCTTTTTATGTTAATCTCGTCATTCTCATTGAGTATTTGACTTCTAGATAATCTATGTAACCAATTATTGTCCTCGTCTTCACTATCGGTTAGTGAAATAACTAAATCTGCATCGTCGAGTATGCTAAATCTTTGGTTTTCCGCCTCTGTAGGTTCCTCTTTGATCTCATCCTTCACGGATGTGTTCATACCGAACCCAATATCGAACAATTGGGAACACGGAAAAATATCGTCCTCGCTGTCGCTCATATTCACAAAATCGATCTCTGAAAATTTCGTTTTTGGTTCTTGTTGCACCTTTTTTAGTTTTATAGGAGACACAGGCGGAACAGATGTTGATGAATCCAAAGGTACTTCTTCGTCGGTATCGGTCAATATTAACTCGTCCTCTAATTTTATTATACCATTTTGGTTACGTATAAAATTCGGAGGTAGTGGTAATAAATTCCTTGCGTTATCATCTTTAGGAATTAATCGATCTATACTCTTCATTACATTTGATTTTTCGTTTTCACTTAGAATATTACGTGATGCAATGCAATTTTTATTCGAATTGTACTTTATGTTTTCTGGATTAGATTTCGCTTTATTGTTCTCCACTGTGTTTTTAGATTGAAGATCATAAGATTTATTATTGATTATTGGATTCTGTGCATCATTCATATGTAATAAATTACTTTCAATGTTTGTATTTAATTCTTTCTTGCTACTACAAACAATGGAGTTCTCTTTTTCTTTGATAATTTTCTTCATGTTATTCGATACAAGTGATTTCACATGTTCCGAATTTGTAAATGATATACATGATTCTGATTTTATGTTTTTTATAGTATTACTTGTTTCACACATATTAGTATCTACACGTTTATTCAAATGCAAATTATTATCCAAATCTTCATTTGTAATGCTAGTTTTTAGTGACACATGGACTATTTCAATATCATTCTCATCTGTTACATTACATTTCTCTGTAAATGAAATAACTATTTCCATTGTAGAGACAAAATTACTACATGTTTTTTATGTTTAATAATAGTAATAAAAACAGTATTACCTTCCAAAGAACTTTCTTTCATAGTACAATTTTCAACATCCAATTTTGGAATCTTATTAGGCACAAGTTTTGCATCGTGACTTTTTAGTACTCTCTTACGCTTAACTGAGGCATCAAATTTATTACATGCACTGTCAATACTTAATATAGTTTCTGGAAGGGCACCGATACTGTGATTATTTTCCACAACTTCTGGTTGCTAAAATTATTACAATATACAAGGGTGCCATTTAACAAATATTAAACTAAAATTATCTAGATAATGAATCAATAAATCTTACTGTAATTTTGTGTAATTTATATACAAACATATTATGATCTGTTATATCTGTATCTGGACAACCAATGCCAATGATATCATTTGGTTGTAATTTAGTTGTCTGATATGGTTCTTGTGTAATTCCATTTATAAATAAACCATTGGAGCTCTAAAAATGATAAAAACGATATTGAAAAATCTGTCAAAATACTACAATAAATTACCTTTACTTTCAAATGTATACCTTTAAATCTGTAACATATAATTCATTTTTGCTATGGAAAAAAATACAATGACGCCTAGATACTGTCAGACTAGTGCATACTATTTCATTGTCTTTTGCTCTGCCACAAGTATACTGAAAATATACGAAAAGTAAAGCATTGTGCCCACCAAAAAGCAACCTTATACATCAATAATATTAACATTCTATGTTTCTCTGTCTGACTTTTAGATCACTTTTTTTCGCATTTAAAATGCATTATCTATTAATACCACTAGCAGGGAGACTTCTAAAAAGAACTGTCAAAGGATCTGTTCAGAAAAATATACTAAATTAAGAAGAATGTGTTGAAAGAAAAAACATTTCGCCGAATGACATTTTTACTTGCAAAAACCTAATAGTGTCATTCACGCACCGTGTGCTCCAATTTATCAAGCACGATCTTAGTCGAAATATTAATTCGTTCCAATACGAACTGGCAATTGCAATTCGTATCCATTTTTCAGAAATCGGCTTGTTTACAGGTCCACTACTATTTTCGTTAACCTGTCCGCTGTTATGTCACGTGCATTTCATCAAATCAACCAGTATACAATTTAATAATATTATTTTTGCGTATAAACATGATTTTACATATTAAATAAATGCATACGACGTTATATATAATCGAACACAAACGTTGACATTTACCACCCTTCTTGATTGAAATTACGTATAAGCACAAACGAGGTACACCACACCTATATACGTAACTCTGTGAACAGAGATAACTATGAAACGTAAAAAATGCTGTTTCCCAACGAAGTTTCTTAAATTTCTTCCTAGAGGGCTCTAAATCAACGTTTCCTCACAAGTATCCTATCCACTACAATCTATTAAAATCTGTAAACTAGATTTATTCGTATTTAAAAAAAAATTTGAGCGCTTTGTAATTTGAGAGGTATGAAAAGAGAACAGCTGATTTTTCAATATTTTTTTTTAAATATTTATCCTGATAATCGGCGTCTGCAATGGGTACTAAATCGATATCAATTTTTGTGTTAACCGGACATATACATTCCACCAGTCACGAAAAGCTTAAAAGTTTTAACCCAAAACATGATATAGAAGGGTTTTTATTTTTAAATAAGAAAAGCATGATGAGTTCTTCTTGTGCTTTCTATTCTTGAACGATCTCGTATCGTTGGTCATTAAGGACACACTGTAAAAGCGGTTATGTGCAAATGTAAGCGTTGAGAATATTGTGTAAAAAAAAAAATTAAATGTAACCGCGATATTATTATGACCACCACTCAGAATGTCATGAAATTATTGCACCTTCAAATTATAATAACGCGTTAGACACGTGAAGGGGAGGTATACACCATTAAGTTTTGAGAACATTTACTTGCGTTGGTAAAAACAAACACCCAATATATCAGGTATGTGTGTACGAATATATCTGAATGACAACAGTGAATTTAGCTAGCAACGTATGATAAACAGCGCATAAGTGTCTCATACAAGGGATCGATCGTTGGCAATGAAGAAAAGTATCTTTTGTTTTTATGTTTTTGAGAATTACGAATCGCTGGATATTGCGAAAGAAGGACAACCAGATTTCAGAATGCGATGTCTGGTGGGCAGTTTACTTTCGGTTTCAGTTTCACTGATGGGAAAAGGCTTAATGGGGTAGGAAGAGACAGATGAAGAATGGGAGAAAATATTTGTATGGAAGAAACGATAATTGAATGTCCAGAATGACACATATATATGTCCAATATAAACATACATATGTTCAGTATGACAGAATGCCATTGTTTCGATAAAGCTATAACATTTGTTTCGTTGCTAAATGTTTTACTCGACAGTAATTTAAGTTGTAAACTGGTCTGAACAGTGTTTTTTTTTATATAAAATGCGTAAATGTGTAGTAATTTTTATTTAAATTTTCGTGATCTATTATTTCCTATATTTTTATTTATATCTGAGAAATAGAATAAAAAGGTCGTTAAAAACAGCTTACAATGATCAATTAATATAAAAAAGTTGACATTACTCTGTTTACGCAACGTTACAAACGATGTAAGAGCGATGATTCAGTTCCGACTTTGTTTCTTTTTGTAATTACGTCTTTATTTTTGCATTAAGTACTTGTTGCGACTACTTCATCTCTGGTAGCAATAACCCGTTTACCAATAAAAACCATTTCTCATTTGCTTTATGGTTGTTTACTTTCGTGTCATTTAAAACATTTATTTTTTTCGCGATTTCAATTTTTGCCAATACATTAGTTAATTTGACACAAGTCATATTTTCTTAAGTTCAGGTTATGTTATGATAAGTCTAGACTAGTTCATTGTTCATGCCAGAATCAAGTGTAATTTAAGTCACATGAAATTTTCATTACAACTAACTTAGAACATAAGTTAAATCGTGTTATATCAACTTAAAATTACACCTAATTCACTATTCAATTCTATTATTAATGATTCAATTAGAAAGGTAACTAAATCAGGATAAACTTAGGTTAAATCAAAGTTATAATTAAATTCGATTAACCTAATTATCAAGAATACGTGAATTGACTTGTTCCTCATTCAGTATTACAATATACTTTGTAAATTAATGACAACGTTATTAATTCGCTGTCTTACTTCAAAAATTTTATCTCGGTCTGATATGCATTTTCATCGCTAGACAGCTGATTTTTTCACTACAATCATGGTTCAACTACCAAAAGGCGCACTTATTCCAGTAATTATCAGAACAAACATGCAAATTTATCGCGTATTTTAAAATGTACGTAATATATACAAAAAATACAAGAAAATATGCGGATGAAGTACCTATTATCAAGAGCATGAGCAAAATTTCGATCGTCACCTCCTCAATCCTCTCGACCCTGGTGTAGGAGTGAGCGGGGTAATTCCGGCTACATAAGCAAGAAATGCCATAAAATTTGAACAAGTTACACATTTCTTAATTTTCTGATACTAATTGATAGCTTGAAGTATCTAGTTTGCATTAGTATGGTCGAGAAGGCATAAATTTACGTTGTAATAAAATTACAAACATAAAACGAAAAAAGGTCATTTGGCTGGAATTACCTCACTAATGGGGTATTACCCCGACCATGATGTTTCTTTACAAAAGAGGTAAGAAAACTGTTAAATTAATAACAAATTTTATTATTATTTGTTTTAAAATTAAAACTGTAGTTAGCACTTTTTTTTTGCTAACTGGATTTCTTGGTTTTCTTCCAATTTTTGTAGCAACATTAGAATCTAGAAATATATTAATTTGGAAAACCATACCTTAAAATAATATAAACATGATGAAAATGATAAGTACTGTAAATGTAATGTAAATATAAACTACCTTTTTTAATTGTTTGCAATGTTAAAAGCTGGCTGGAATTACTCCACACCTCATGTTCAGATATTTGAAGTAATACACTGAATTGAATTGACATATCACAAAAAACCAAATGTGACTTTGAAAATAGAAACATTTCTCTATTTAATGAGATTAATATTAATAATTTATATCGATTGGAAGTATTAATTTACCTCGCTTAAAAATTGACCACCGATATAAGGTTACGCTGCAAAATGAACATTCAGGCATTGTTTAAAATAAAAGGCTGCTATAGTCACAGGAACGATGAATATTAACTAGCCGCATCATTAATAGGTGGCAGTACCATACAAAGTCAAATCACGCGTTTTTTATTTTAAGATATTAAAGTGGCCGGTATTATCCCTCTTTCCCCTACATAAATATTGAGTAACATTTAAAAATGATTAATTGAGGACCGTGTTTAGGGATTAAAATCTCAGGTTAAAGAAGTTACGTGTATTGTCCACGGATTGTGAAGATGTAATTTTGTAAAATGAAGGAAATGTAATTTTCCTTCCAAAAACACAAAATAAATGATTTTCAATCGGTATTTATCGCTCAATTATCCTTGACCACTCCGATTGACATACAGAGTACTCCAGAAGTAACAACGAGGTTAAGAAGCAATACAAACTGACCGTGTTTAATTTGCAAGTGCAATGTGGTCTTTTTGATGGTTCGTTAAGAAGCTTATAATTATCCTGTTATCTCTTGACAAAAACCTGTATTTCAATTAAACAGTGACATTAAGATATGATCTCTATTTTGCTTGCAATATACCGCACTTTTGGAACGTTTATGCTAATTTCACATGAAAGTTTACAACAAGTAATTAAATTCATTCTTGAATTATTTTTTGAAGAAATTATCCCTACCTAGAGGTTATGTTTTCGGTACATGAATATAGTTCATAGTATTGTAAATGTATTACGTGATCTCTAATGACAGTAGTGGAATACAAACGAGATTAGAGATAGAACGTTCGATAGTTAAGAGAAATCAATTAACAAAATCTCAACCATTCTAGATCCGTATTGGGTTTTAACCGTTCGGTCTCCTGTTTGGAAACAGGCACGTAAGTAAGGAAATATAAAGTGTGATGTAAGGTGCCCTAAATTGGCAATAAAAAATAAGCGTGTAGTTGAGAGAAAAAACGAGAGCAGATCACCTTGATACCTTTACCGAAAAAACGAGTAGGTTAAGAAGGTTCGTGAAGTTGTCAACTGTTTATGGGTTGCGTAAATAAAAAGTTTAATCAAATGTCAATAATACCTTGGTTCTATCTATAATGAACTATAAATATAATCTTTATAATTCTGTACTACAGTTCAATTATCAAATCTTCTTCGTTTTCTGGCGTTAATTGAATGTGGAATAATAGAATTTCATGTAACTTGTGCGCTAAACATTCTTTTCTCTTTTTTGGCGGGAACTCGCGGAATTTAGTGTCAATATTTCGTGAGTGTTGAATTTAACACGGGCCCGTGGCGTGTACGTGGGTTGAATAACAATCGAATTCTAAAGGCGCATCGACCCAGTTCAATTCACTGTTTTCACTTTCGAACGCCCAGAATCATTTGACATTCAAAACTGCTCCCAGTAATTTATCAATCATCAGCTGCTATTAATAGACAACAAGACTGCTGTTGAATTTCTTTTTCTTTCTTTTTTCTTTAGACGAAAAAGCGCTATGCATTTTTTTTCACTTATCAGCGTAAAAGGCGTGACCGGAAAAAGGGGACCTCCGATTATTTGACATTATTCAATGAAGTTATACAACAACCGAGATGAATACTTTGTTAGAATATCACTTAAAGCGCCGGCTACTTTGTTGGAAACTTGACTTAAAGCTCCGCAATATTTACGAGTTTTGTAGAAACATGCACTTTTACAAAATAAAATAAAATAACTCTTGTAAAACACAAAATTTCTATTGAAAAATTTTACATAGTGTTTATTACAGGCACAGCGACGATTTTTAATTATATAAATATTGAGCCACTTGTTGTTCAAGAGAGATAATATTTTTTTCTGCACAAACATGTAAAAACGCATTTACGCGGGTCCGGCGCTTAATCTCTAGTCCACATATGTATTACGTCTTAAAGCGGGTCCGGCGCTTAAAGTGATATAAAATGACAATTTTAAATTATAAACTATATTCCGTACAATGTTTGATTCTACTACTATGGGGACCAAAAAATTGATAGACATACTTAAATGAAATAATCATTATAGTAGAATTCTACTGAATTTTCACCAATTTTTTATTAAATATAGATTTTATATCCACAATTACTCTCAATTTCTTCAGAGATGTCGATATTTCTGGAAGAAAAAACAGTGGCAACGGAACATTTGATAGCTAATATACGATTGCAAAATGGATAAATTAACGATCACAGAATACAAGCAGGGGCATTCATAGCTGTTAACTACTGTGGGGGAGACGGTTTCTCGAAGATTAAACACGTGGAAGAGCAAAGTAGGTTGGCCCAATTTTGGGCAAGTTTGAGTCTTTGTTCATATGGGAGGGGTACCAGAACGATAATTTTGTGAGAAGGGGTCCCCTTTACTACCACGTGGCCATATAAGCAACGTCTGCTGCCACTGACGAGACAGAGTCCTGCACCCCTTCGTTGATTCACACGTCGTTGTCTTCAACAAACAAGGTAATTTTGTTGCAAGAGTACAAACCTAGCCAGAAGACTTCTTAATGTGACGCTCGACTACCGATGCTTCTTAGGCTACGCTGGAAGCAGCTAATTGACATTTTCGTTCCTTGCATACTGATCACTCGCTCCTGATTACCGACATCACAGTACTTGCTCCTTCTGTACGCGCGTAACAAAGATCTCAGTATTGATATAAGAATGAATAGTCCACAAAATAGCTAACTAATCTAACTTTCTGAAAAATATAGATTGAAATTGAAGTTTAAAGATTGATATTTGGGAACTTAAAAGTTCATGCCTAATTTTGCACATGATCTCTTCAGAAAGTTCCATCGTAATTTCTGAAACTTTTAAGAATGCAACGTACGCTACATTAGTAAAATTTCCAAGTTTCGAACATTTTACGAGTGATTGACAATAGTTTAAAAAGTTGCCTCCACTTTGGAAGATTCAATTCTATTACACACTTGCATTACAGAATGCAGTCTGGAATCGTCTTCGTTACGGTAGCAGCAGTATTGCTACAGAATGGCCATGCCGGCTTCGTGTCTCTCAAAATGCCGTACCCGAATCCGGCGGGAGTATCCTACATCAATAATATCGCGCCCCAGGCGCACTTTGCGTACAGTCTTCCCGGTAAAGTTGAAGCCCAACACATTGGATATGCCGCCGCCCAAGTGCCAGCAGTAGCCGCTGTGCCTTACGTCCAACATATACCGACTGTTTCTCATGTGCCAGTCACGAAGTACGAAGCCCAACCTGCTTTCCTGGAGAAGCAAATAGACGTTGTGAAACAGGCCGTGTCCACACGCAAATTCGAAGTAAGTAATTTTTCGTTCGTTCAGTTTACGAGGCTCTTCATTTTCGTCTTTTTTAAAAATCTCTTGTTTTTAATTTCTACCGTTCTTTGCGTTACTTACTGTTTTCTACCATTTACAAGTTCCATGTTCCAATTTTTTTCTTCTTATATACCTAAATTTTCACGCTTTCCCTTAACCTATCAATTCACCAATACTTTCTCATTTCGATGTGCAAATAAACACCGTTTCTTGTCAGGTACGTCGTCCAGCAATCCAGCAGCAATTCTTCGACATCGAAGAACGCGTGGTCGTCCGGCCAGTTGGCTCAGCTGTAGTCGAGCTCGACCAGCCAACCTCCAGGATCCCCAAGGGACCAGCTGTGATCGAATCTGTGAATCAGCCTTCCGAAGAGACCTCAGTTTCGCAATCTTCAATTTTTGCATCCTCAGGTTCGCCTAAGGATAACGAAACCATTGTAGTAGAGAACGCTGATTGCGTTAATGTTAACGATCAAGGCCAGGTACGATTCAAATTACCATTCTCCTCTTGATTAAAGTGACTTAATAATCGTTTTTTATATAGTTTAGCAAAGCTGGAGCGCGAACAGCAGTACAAGTTAACTCGAATAGTGAATTTTCAAGCGGAGCCTTTGTTGCCCACGACCCCGTTCCAAACGTCGTCATCAGCCCGAATTCCTCCCCTGAAGAGGACAAAAAAAACCAGAACAGGCTAATCGAACTGCTCACCGCTCGTGGCAACGTTGCTGAGGTAATTTAACCCGTTGACTGTCACACAGGGTTATGGGGAACTGATTTTTCTGCAAGAAAATGTATTACCTATAGAAAATATAATGACCAAAAATACCCAACGGTTGAAATTCAATTTTAAAGACAACAAATTTCGGGTGGCAATCAATATATTAATTAATAATACTTCTTTCATCACCTTTTCTCTGTAATTTATGTTACTAGCTGAGATCTTCATTTTTAGTATGTATTATAATTTGAATATATGTTTAAAGATTGGATCCGGCCTCTTTGGGCTTGACAAATTCAACGATAGCGAAGCTGGCCAATTCAGAGGACGTGTGATCTCTGCCACCCCTGCTCCAGACTTTGCAGAACCAGCTGGCGAACGTGTCTCCACACGACGTGTCGTGCTCAACAAGCCCATCGAGACTCTTCAAGAAGTGGACGTCGTGGAACCAGCGACAAAAATTGAACGAGTGTCCGTTAAACAGCCTACCTTCATAAAAACGGCGCGTCTTGATCATGTTCAGGTTCACAGTTCGGTCCCAGTTTATGGAAAGGCTCTGACACCAACAATCGCTCATGCTGCTGTTCCACTTTACCAAAAGACCATCTCTCCAGCTTATGACTACTACCATTAGACCGTCTGACCGTTTGTGATATGTACCTTCTTGACGTTCTGATAAAAAAACAAGATAGTATGTAGAAAAGATGTTTTATTTTTGAACCTTTTCTCTGCCTTTGTAATGAGTTAACAATGATTGCATAATT